AAACCCCCGGTTCGCCCACACAACTTTTTAGGGGGTTCAAAGGATATTGATTCAAGGGAATCTTAAAGATGTTTCAAAAGAGTTTCTAGGGAATCATAAAATCCCCACCTCCGTTAAACTTTATATTCAAGGGAATGTTCAAGGAGTTTAGGGTTAAGGGATTAGGGTTGATGATGTTGATGATGTTGATGATGTTGATGATGTTGATGATAATAATAATGATGATATTGTAACATTCAACGCACAGGTCGCTAAGCTGTGCGTTGCCAGATGAAAGCCATGATCATGGACATGTGAATTTTGTCCCACAAAACACAGTGTTTTTTGATGTTCGGACACGTCGTGGACGTCGGTGCGGGCAAACGGAGGGGGTCTGCACATAAGAATACTGTGCATGACCAACAGTGGGAACCAAAATGGATGTGTCAAAAATTTGAGGATTAGGTGAGAAAACCACACTAGTCCAACAAAAACACTAAACCCTCGGAGATACTCATTGTCCTTCAACATTCCCTATGGGCATGGTTGCAAATGGTTAGGGCCCATTCCTCTGATTGCAGGTTGTCCTGAAAATTCAGATCAAGACTGACCCACCGGCTTACCCGAGATACAATTGAAAAATCGGCATGTTGCTATGGACAACTTGTAAGTACCTTGCGAAAATGTGCATCTGCGGCATGACTATACTGTCTTGACTGTAGGATGTGGCTATTTGAGGCTGAAATCTAGACCCCAGGAGTGTGAAGTGCTTTAAAAACAAGTATTTCCAAAAAAAAATGGCTTTGACTACAGTTGTTCATAGCTGTTCATCATGAATCCCCTAAAAAACAGAATCCAACGCTACTTGGTGGCTCATCCCACTTGCTAGTTAGGTTGGTTATATCATGATTGTATCTGGTATAAGTAGGCTTATAGAACTTATAGCCCACTTGTAACTGGAGTTATAACCTACTGACCTACTAAAAAAATAAGCCGGATGAACCCAGTCCCCCTTTCAAAGAATCATCCTTTCGGATTTTGGCCCGTGCTCCCTACGCTTCCCCTGTCAAGCCACAGTTAAAGCCGGTGGGTTTTCGCTCCCCTTCTTCCTCCTCTCCAGTGAGCCATGATGAAACCTGACTCACCTGTCAGCCGAGAAAATCCCAGGGATCATTCGAGGGGGTTCCCAGCCTCATGGACTACGATAATCACCAATATGCAAAGGGTAGGTTAATAAGCCCGAACAAATCATCAACCGGCCTCGAGCCACAGCATGGTTGACGGGATTCAGCGAAAATCAGCAAGAATAAACAAACATGACGAAAATAATTAGAAAAGTCACTAGGTCACTGGACGGTTTTTTGACCCGGATTTATATATATATATATATATTTACCACTGGTTGCTTTGATTGTCGCGCCTGGGGATTCCTGAACCCCTTTTTGTTCGATCTTGCGTGCAACAAACATGAAATTCTCGTGTGTGGGCGTGTGGATGTGACATCTCAGAGAATATGTATATATATATATATTCACATATATATATATATATATATATTCACGTTACATTATAGGTATATTGATATATTTTAATATATTTTATATAGATAATACATACACAGCATGAGGGTTTTCCCTGCATTTCCTCAGGAAACGCAGGGTGTGCCCATCTTTCTCGTCTTCCGCTCAGGGCCCGCACCTTCAGAATGCCAAAGGAGTGGAAACCTGACGTTACCATGGACCACAGGCAAAAAAACAGCGCATAGGTCCAGTTGTTACCCAAAAAAGATGTTTTTTTTGTGACCAAAGAACTGCAAGCCAACTCACAAACGCTGCTGATTCAACCGCAACCCTTGAAGAATCTGCATGATGAATACTAGAAATAACCAAAATCCTTTGACCCAGACACCTTCTGCCATAAAAAGATGCCGCCCAGCCCATGCAAGGGGGGTTGAGACTCGAAGAGCACCATTTTTTCGTTTTGCAGACTCGGCCCAGGACCCAAGTTTTAAGGGTTCCATGTCAGAATTCAAATTGGGACACTCCAAGAAATTCCTACACTGGCAGTGTAACAATAGCCCCAATCTGCGAGCACCAACATGTCTTCAACGGTGACCCCACATTTTGACGCATACCCCTGGTTGACTCAAAAAATATGATGTGGTACCCGTTTCGCCCCAGGGTATCAGTCAACAGAAAAACTCGGGATCCCCACCACCCAACGTACCCATGAAGGCAGCCGCTCCGACCACGCTGGAGGGAGACACCAGAGACCTCTGACTTGAGACGGTCTGATCCAGACACGTTTGGGGAACTCGGAAGGGGCTGGTGAGTCAACTCCAACAATGCAGATTCTGGCCATGAAGAAATGTGTGATTATATCAATCCGACCAGCCAAGTTGGCATCCCTTGGGCTGCACAATGACTACATCGAGAAGTTCAAGTCCCATTCCTGTTGCTCGAATCTATGTCTATTTATATTTACTATACATGTATACCTAGATATACCTCTTTTTATGCATACATACGTGTATGTATATATATATAATATATACATGCACCATATGTCATATTTTGTCATTATAGTATATGTCATAATGTTAACCCCGGATTAATAAACCATAGTTTTTTAATTAGGGGGTACTTCCCCAATAGTCATACAGTAATCTGATACTTAAATGGCACCCCCCCCAGTTAAACAGCCGTTTGGGGTTTATTAATCCAGGGCTGACATCATATCATGTATCACATGTCATATATCATATATATATATCATATATCATATATCATATATCATGTATCACATGTCATATATCATATATATCATATATCATATATCATATATCATATATCATATATCATGTATCACATGTCATATATCATATATATCATATATCATATATCATATATCATATATCATATATCACATGTCATATATAATATGTATAGTATATATATATATATTATACATATGTACACTCTGTATACCACAACCATACCCCATCTCTGTGGCGCCAGGGTGCAGCGTCGCTGCGGCGCTCTGCACGGAGTGTGCCAGTGAGTCAGCCACGGTATCAAAGCCTGTGAACCTGGCAATGGGGAGGCCGTAGAGGGGTGGTTTTTCCGGACATGGCTAAAACAAGTGGATTAGAAAACTCCCATATGTTGGGATGTAGTTAACCCCAGCAATCCCAAGCCTATATGTATATATATATATGTATAATTATATATATATATATTTCTATATATATATATTTCTATATATATATATATATATTTCTATATATATATACTTCTATATATATATATTTCTTTATTCAGTTATAATTTAAACTGCACCCCCAAGTATGAGGTGGAAAAGAACAGTAAACTGGTATGCAACCATGGTTAGAAGGTGATGTCCCCGTCTTTTGGGTTGTAAATACTGGATATACCCCTCTATCCAGGTAGGAGGCTATACTTGGATCAACATCCGATGACATTCCGCTTAGTACAGGAGCCCAACTATTACTATTGATGTATAATTTAGACACTGTGATGAACATCCTAGTACGGGTAGGGGACCATATGGGACACTTTGGCATCTGGTTTTCCGTCTCCATGCTGGTCCCACACAGAAGGATCCAGGAACAAGCTGAAGTCTGTGCAATGTGCCAGGTGGAGATGAAACAAACGTGTGAGAACGTGGGTGGCTCTGAATGCCCTACATGGTTTGATACCAAGTCTGCCAAATGCATCCTTAAAGCCTCTAGTTTGGTGCATGATGCCTGCGTATACTTGCTTCACGAGGGCTTCAACCAGGAATGGTGTAGTCTCAAGTTAATCGTATTGAGACCACAAAAAGGCACGTGTTTTACATCCCGTGGACCATTTCTATGACATTTAAATTTCTTTGAAAAGATTACCGACCAAAAATGGTCGCATGTCTGGCAAACGGCACAAAAGAAATGTAAATTTCAACATCCAGAAGCTGAAATGCAGGATCGAAATGTGTGGCACCAGCAAAGGGTATTTTAAAAAGGAAAAAACACTCGCCTTGTTTTGATCAAACCCTCACAAAACAAACCCTTTAAGACTACCTTGGTTCGCAACTTAATTTGTGGGTCCACTGAAGCATACATATACATATGTAATATATATATATATAGATATGAATACACATAATATCAATGTCAATATGTGTGTGTATATATATATAATTACATATATATATATAAACACGATATGAGCCAGCCGCTCAAAACCCACCAGCCAGGTTGCTCAAACACCAGCCAGGCAACAAGCTGCTGAGCTTTTCAGGCGGTGCAAGGTGTGACACTCCTGGTGATCAAACTCAAAAAAATGCTACAATCAATGGGGAGTTTTCTCAATTTTGAACAATTGGATTTTCAAGAATCCAATATCGAACAAAGTATTGGGTGCGTATAACTTCGTATAGCCACTCCAAAGTAGCAGGGTAGACCAAAGGTAAGGGGTCTCTCTTTGATATTGTGTTGAAAACTGTTCCGTTGCGTAAGATCGCTGGCGATCAAATGATCAGGTTCGAGATAACCAATTTTGATGGGCGGACCCCACTTTGGATTCATAAACAATATCTCTTGATTGGTTTTGCTGAAGGGCCGAGAACGAAATCATTTAGACTTCGAAACATCAAATCCAGGTTATTCCTTTCTGTAGGAAGGCTTTTGGAAACCCATATCCCACCATTTCATGTATCCAAACCGCCAACATCATGGGGTATATTGGGGTATATTGAGATGGTTTCAAAAAGTGAGCTGGTTGACTCTTGGATCTCCAAATCACGAGCCCCCACTGCTGGTCCAGGTTTCTTCACTAAACAACTAGTAGAATTCGTACCGCATCTTCGACCCCCCAGGACCTCGCATCAAGTCGTGCGTTGGCTGCAGCAGAGACATGGCAGTGCCAGTGCTGCCAGCCGAGGCCATCTGTGCAGCAAAATGGGGAGATGGCAATAAAAAAATGTCATTTGTAGGTTCCAAAAAAACATGCCGCCCTATCATTCCAGTTAGGGAGAAGGCTGGCAAAACCCACTCGTAGTAAACCCCCTATAGAGCCCAAAAAAAGCATTTCGAAACCAGCATTTTTGGGGGAAATCTTCATTATTGGCAGGCTCATGTCCAGCCTTGACAGCCCCCATGCCAGCTGCTGCTGCGCCCTTGCCCACGAGCATCTCAATTAGGACCATGGCCCCTTTGGACCCGGGGCCTCTCAGCCCACTATGAAACAGCTCAGAGCCGAAGCCGACGGCGACATCCCAACAATTCCAAAGTGGAGTCAAGAAATGGATACAAAGACATCGTTGATTTGTTTGGGGTGCAACAATTGGTCACTAGGTCTGAAAGCCTTGGTCTTTTCAAATTTGCGAATCCCAGAGGTTGGCCCCCCCATTGGGCCCATGTTTGTTTGATGCCATATGGATATGGTTTCAAATCATTTCCCCTCCAAAAAGCAACGGTATACTGTGGTATACTGTGGTATACTGTTATAGGAAAAATGGGACAACCCAGCCCTCCCAGACTGGGGGACTGCAACGACCCCCCAGGACGGACGGGAGCATCACATCGTCCATCTGCAGGCGGTGGATAGACATGAGACACCACAGAAAGATACAGAAAGCAGATGATTCAAAATGACAAACATATAGATAGACTATCTAGTGATGATATCTAGTGATGATAGAGAGACTATCTAAGATAGTGTATAAACTTTTTGTTGGCCGTGTACATCCCAAAAGATTGTCCTGCCGAAGCTGCGATCGGGAACATTTCTGGGAACATTGCAAACCAAGGTTGAGAATTCCACCAAGCACAGGCATCAGTTTTTCTGTATATATCTTCTAATCTGGTTGGCTGGGAAATCTTTTTTTTACTGGAAAATGATTTTGTCCGCCAAGTTGGATCGCCAGAGTGTAACATCGAAGACCAACCCGGACTTTTCAACAAGCCTCTGCGGAGATCTCCAGAACGTTAGGAACCCAAAATCCATAAAAATCTATGGAAACATACCATATCTCAGGAAACATCATGAAACATCCTGGCCCCAATGTTTGCCCTCGCAGGCTCCCACCTCGTCCTGACAGGTGCGATCCGTGACGCATTGTGGGAGCTCCACCGAGACCTAAAACGTCACAAAAAATCTCGGAATGCAAAATGGGACAGCATTCCACCAGCAAACTCATCAAACTGTAACAAACTGTAATCTTGTCATATCTTGTCATATCTTGTCACTGGGAATTCTGGGAAACTCTCACAGAAAGTCAGGCGAAACTTGGATGGTAACTCCATGGAATTCTGTTGCGAATTCAACCAAGTTTGATCCATAGCGACATTGTCCCCAAAATAAAGACGCGATACCAATCTAGTACCGAAATCCATTTCTATCTCTGGTTTCCAGCTTGTTTCACTAGACCACTTTGCTGGAGGCCAGATGCGAGTTCCAGCAGTCAACTCAACTGGATGCCAGTGCCGTGACTCGGAACTGCAGGAAACCAATGGAAACCATGGAATTTCCAACCCAATATGGGGGGTAAACCTTGAGAATCAGCCGTGTCAGTCGCCCCTTCCCCAATCCCCACCAATCCTACCTGCGACGTTGCAGTGGAAGATTTAATTGCACATGGTGACCCTTCTCAGGGATCCCAGGGACGCCAGTCGATCCCAGTCTCAAAAACACCGCATTTTCTGTGTGAAATCATGAAAAACGGAGTCATGAATGTCATGATAGTCGTGACTCATTCTGTTGATTGGTACCCAAAAATTGATTCGGTGCCATGTCCAAAAATTCTGAAATTTGCTTCATGTAGCCTATCACCATCCCCGTTTATACCCATTCATGATTGCATTTTATTTGATGATTATATAATAATTACATATACATACCTTTGCTTTGATGTCTCGACATTTTCATTTGCATATGCGCCTATCGGTCGAAATTGTTTGCCCCAAGCTTGCTTCGGACGTCCTCCAAAAAATGTCCGAAAAACAACAATCAACCAACCCAAAAAAAAATGTGATACATACCTGTAATCAATTTGATACATACCTGTAATCAATTGGCCAAACCCGCATTTTCGTGTAAATCCTCACTTTGTCGGTCAATCTCCAAATGGATCTCCGTGTTTCTAGTTGTTTCATTCCCTTATATATTGGTGAAAGTATTCAATGATTGCTGCTTCACCTGTTCTGCTGGCTGTTGGTGAATCAAAATCCTCCATTTTGGGGTTGAATTTCTATGGTTGTTGCTTAAATCCCCATGTTTCTCACCGTATTTCCCTTTGAATAAAATCAGTATATCCATGTGTATCCTCGTTCTTGTCGTTGTGATTTTTGTGCAAATGAAATAAATGAAATCTTTCATTTTGCTGGTTAACTCCCTAATCCGACTGCCTGCGTTGTCTCGACTTGATCCGCCACTGGGGAATAACGCGCCTGCCAAGTGCGCGTGTGGAGGGTCAAGGAAAATATGTTCCGAACAACTAAGTAATGGAATCACACAATAAATTCGTTACATACAGCGACTCCCTTTGAGTTTATTCGTACCCAAGTTCGGAGAATTGTTTTCATGTGCGATTACCTCTCAAATTTTACCCGTCACTAAAAAGGTTGCAACATTGGTGTTTGACCCAAAAAATTGTCGGCAAATGTACCCACGACAACGAACTGTTTCCACAGTTGTCCGTTTCCAGTCGACTGGGGTTCGACTGAGAATTTGGCCATAATCAAGCAGCAGCATGCAATGAATCGAGGTACAACATGTGACGTATCGTTTGTGGCACCACTGACATGTTGGTTCATCCATTTCCAATATACTGCCCGTGTATGTGTCATTCATTCGTGGTTGCTGAGTGTGAACAAATTCTAAGCTGCACACTATGCAGTTTGGTAAGAATGCCCACATGTGAAATTTTGACACATGTTAGATTCCCATCCACAACGAGGGGCGGTTCATGGAACGCATTGTGTCAGCACAGCTTGAGGATGAATGCCACACCCATGCAAATGTGTTCATCGCACACTGGGCATTGAAAGCAGTCATCGATTCACAACGGAATCATTCGTTTTGATTTGCAATTCATTGCTTCTACGGTTAAAATTGGCTTGGAGACCAGAACTAAGCGCACGAAAACTAACTGGTTCAACTTGGACTTCTTATTTTGCTACCTTTATAAAAGGCGTTGATATAAAACCATACCTCCCAAAACCCGACGTCGAAACTGCTAAGAAACGAAGATACGTCTCAAAACGCAAATCGCAAATTCGACAGCTGAAAGAATTCGTTCCTTCATCTCCCCTTTTTTCGGAACTTGCTGAATGGAATCTCTGAGTTTGCACAGGTAAGGTTCCAACCTCTTATTGGTGACCTTGTAAGCCACCTAGTTTTCACAAGTGACCACACATTCATACCTGATGGCATGTTACCCCCCTGACGGTATTCGTGCAGGAGGGGATAGGCCGAAATGGTACGCAAATCGTACTGTTGTGACTGCCAAATTGGAAGCAACAGCTGAGAGAATCTGAGAAAAACCATGAAAGCAAAGATTACAATAGGTTGAAGTCTGTGAATGCAGCCATTGAAATTGAGAGGTTCAAGTCAGGATCTCGTTTGCCACGAACTGAAAGGAGGTATCCATATGACAACCTGCAAACAGCGAAGTTACACGGTGGGTGCGTATTGGGTTCAAAAACACAGTTGGTGACAACACAGCACTGTTGACCTCACTTTTTCCTCGAGTAGCACGGATGTGCTAAAAGGGGCTGCGGTCACGTCAAGTGTCTTACATGACATGCCATCTCTACTCCTAGCTAGCTACTTAGCCCTAAACTAAGTGTTTTACGCCTAGCAAGTTGCCACCCTCCTTAGAGTGGACTTGTCTGTGAGACGCTACTGGTGAGACGTCTCTACATCCCCAGGAACCTATCTTCAGCCCGTCTCCACTGTTCAAGTTCTGCTGGAGACATGTGGGCAAACGGGTCGCTCCGCTCGATGCTGGCTGCATCGGCTTCGCTTTCCGGGTTGGCGGATCTGCCCGCTCAGGCGGAGCTGCCCGCTGTTCAGCGGTGTTGCCCGCACTGGCTGGTGCCGCCTCGGACTCACTTGACTCAGAGTCCTGGAGGTCCGACATGCCGTCGGGGTGCTCTCCTCGTAGGAGAGACTCTTCTTGGTTGCGCCATTCGATCAACTCCTGCATGGTCACTCTGGCCTCTGCGGCTTCTTGGACCCAACGTTCTTCATGCCACCTCTCGATCTCGAGGAGTGAGTTCCTCAGGAGACTGCGGGGCTTCCGCTGGTGTCCGCGGGTCTGCCGCTGGCTCTGACCGCGGGGTTGCCGCTGGCGCTGGATTGGTCAGCATTAGCTGCTGATTGTTTCTGGTGGCAGTCACCCTGAGTCGCAAGGTGATCTGCTGATCTTCGACGTGCAATTGCACCTCATGGCCCGTTTCTTGAGCTCCTGGCTCGATTGGCCGTACCAGTTCATAGCAAAAGTGACAAACTGTGTTGCCAGTTGCCAGATTGCCCATATCAGCACACCAATGCCGATCCCGGCCAAGAAGAACAATGCATACCATTCGTATTGGGACAGGCAGTCCGTAGGCTGCCCTGCCACAGCCTGAATTTGGCTCAGGACAACAAGTGCCTTGATGCACCCGACCAGTTGTCCGTCTTGACAATAGGCCGTGGCGGTTTTTCCCGCTCGATCTTGGTCTTTGATCCAACCAACACAAGCTGGCGTAGGAGTCTTCCACGCATGCTGCTTGGTCATGGTTGAGACCTTGACAGAGATCTTCTTGCTCGAAGAGAGCATATCTTCTCCGTCACGAGCTTCATACATGCCTAAACCAGGCATTGCTTGCCTTACTTCCGTTCCACTCTTTGGGTGTTTGGTGAGGAAGTTGGCACAATTCACGGTGCCCTTGACTTTGCCCAACGCTATCTGCTTGGACTGCAAAGCTCCTTGCACATAGAACTCACAGACTTCAAGGTGTCTGGAACCTGGTCCAATGCGCTTGGAAGCTTGCATTGCCGATGAACTGTCCGTCCATACCCTGGGACTCCAAGAAGCTCCATTTTGAAGCTGCCAGCTCCAGAACAGCAATTGCAGCTCCAAAATGAAGCTTCCAAAATGGAGCTTCCAAAACTGAGCTCGCAGCTCCAAAATGAAGCTGCTTGAAAACATCGAAATGGAGCTTCCAAAATGAGTTGTTTTTGGTATCAAATGGGGCTGCTGACGT